CCCTAGCAGGGCGGTCTATCATCACATTGAGCTGAACTCTTTACCAATACACTAAAGCGAGTGAGCATCGTTCCACTCTTGTGGTGGTAGACTGGCCTTTTAGGATGACGACGATCTTGTCGAAACGTCAGGTCATCTCCAATAAAGTCTTCCACCTACCAGTCTCTGCGACAGAACACAAAAATTGCAAATCTCAAAGTTCCAATAAAGCGGGGGCTTGGTTCCTCAACTCAGAACTCCCGTGGTAAACTTTCGGCGAGCAAATCGGAAAGCTGTACGCAATAGTAGCGAAACGCATAGAGCAATAAAAATTGGCCATAAAGTGGTATGCGCACGCACTCGACTTGCGAGTTAAAACTACAGTGACGTGAGGAGTATATATGGTTAGGAGGAGTGGCCAGCCAATGTAGAAGCCAGTACTGTCGTTCTCACGAGGGAGTCTAGTCCCGTCAACCCAACCCTGGAATGCCGTTGGGTGGACTGGCACGCCAACCAACGGCATTTGGAGCGCTGCTCAGCTTGGGGATGGGAGACGAAAGGGGGGGGGCATTTTTCCCTGTTGATTCTGTCTGCTAGTCCAAGTAACTGACTGTATCACTCTGTAAGATTCATAAACTCTGCCAATGCTGCAAAAAGTGGTACAATTGAGCCACTCTGATAAAGGACTTCACAGGTTACAAAATATGTAGCTTGTATATGCTTTTCAGTGCCATGTGGTGCCACCCCCGCGCTTTTGTTATCATGGCTCTACACTGCGGCCATCTTGACACGGATTAGGGCCATCAGTAGCGGGGTGGTCTGGCCGTGACGAGGGTGGATTCACATCAACTAAGTACCCAGTGTTCTTCATCACCGTACCTTGCCAGTGACTTTGAGGAAGAAGGATCGCGCCTGTAGTAGCGGTGCCTCCCGTACGCTCAAAAAAAATCAGACAAACTCAGCTGTGTCCCGCTTCTGCTTCTCTGTTTCCCTATAGTTTCCTCAGTGGAAAAAGTCAAAGGAGCAGAAGTCCACTCTATCCAGCCACCTGTCTGCGTGGTTGTACCTGTCAGAGCTCCATAGAATTCGGTCCACAGCCCTGATGGTTCCGTTTAGTCGATCAGATAGTATTTGTATAGTGGGTGTAAATCGCACTGACAATCTAGTCACACTCTATCGGATTGTATCCGGGAAATTTATGATCAAACGTAAGTGGACATGCGATTTACGGCAGGTTGTGTCACCTGTGGGAACGATGGCAATCGCCTTCGGGACAAATCGGCCCTAGGTGGTGACGTGGTTGATCGCGAATTCATTAAGATTTATAACTTGTTTTATAACACAGTTATAACCCATCCGTAGAAAAAAAATGCTAGACATTTACAGAGCTATATGGCTCAATAGGATACGAACTTCCACAGTTACTCTGTGAGGCATATTCGAAGGAGCACCTCATGTGACTGGCAATAGGTTGGGTTACCGTAATCTGCAAGGCTTTCATGGGATGAGGCAAAGCAAAGCACAGATGTTCGATAGCAACCTTTGTAAGCACATGAAGGAATCCTCGTGCGAAACTGGGAGCTCCCTTATAGGGATGGAATCACTGCGTTCGAAGTTGGTTCACTTGCCCAGGAGCCCTTTTTCTTTCTGGCTCGTGCAGGCTCCCTGTCACGGTTCTGCACACAGAACCAGCAGGAAGCAGACTGTGCCTCCAAATGATCTCAAAGCTCTTCGGGTGGTGTTGACAGATGTGGCCCTGCAAGTGGGCAGATTTTAGCATAGTTCTACTATGGGTGGAGGACACTGCAAAGCTGCGAAGTATTATGAACTGCCTTGTCAAGGCACTTCGGCACTATTACACCAATCCCCTTTACTACACCAATCATCCGAAATCAGACTAGTTTTTCTACCGGATTTTTTCTCCGAGGCCAGATTACGCTTGAAATTTGTCTCTACTAGTAGTTCAACTCGATGAATCTACCCCTCCCACTTGGAATCGGCCGCTTGGCGCTCGCGTCACAGGCACCGGCGACAAAACACCCTGAATCGCCAAAATCGCTGAAAACTTGCTCCTAGGGGTGGTTTGACCTCCTTCAACACGACGTATCTGCATTGGTGGAAAGAGAGTATAAGTGATATCGGGACCTGCTTCTCCCGCTCTGTCTCCCCGGGATAGTGTTCCTTAGGTGCCTTCGCACATCGTTCGGCACGAAACCGACTGAAGTCCATGCTACACGCGCCGGTGTCGAAACAGCGTCTATTGCCGGCGCTGACGCTGTTTGTCGACGGGGGGGGGCATTTTGCACTTTGACGACTTCCCATTGACGTGTCGACCCATCCAGACAGCCTCTTCTCGAGTTGACCTTCTCGAGTTGATAGGTTTTACCATGATGGCTTGACGAGCTTGCTACGGCTTCTCAAGAGTTCACAGGTTTCACCAGAGTTAGACTTCGTAAACCAGTACCAGTGAAGCAACGAAGTGCAAAATGTCCCCTCGTCGCCGACAAATTGCGCCGCCGGCGCCTGCAATGCGCACGTTCCGCGGTTTCGCACCAAACGAATGGGTATGCTGTTTAAGGAAGAGACTATCTGTTTCCTCAGAGTCAAACTGCCTCTGGAGCAAGCTTTTGAGCGCTCTCGGCGCTTTAGGGCGTTTGGCGCCTGCGCTTGTGGCTCGGGCTCCAGGCGGTTTGGGGCTGAGCGAGCGTAATTTTCCTGGCCAGGATTTCGGACCACCACTGAAGATCGATTTTCAGGCGATGCGATGCTCTGACCTCAGACTGGGGCAGTAAAGGGTAAATAGCGTCAAACGACTTCTAGCCTTTGAGGAAACAGATAGTCGCTTTCTTGTGACATCGTTCCATTTCTGACTTTCCCCGCAAATCTTTGGCTGAAAAAGAGGAGTAAAATTTCCCAGTACTTGATGTCTTGCTCAATCTGCATTTCAAGAGGAAGCCCCCAAGCTTAGCCGCCACCCGAATCGCCCATATATCACTTGGCAAGGGGCAGTAAATGGTATCTCAGATGAATAGGAATATGAGCAAATTTCAGAATTCCTAATTGGGCGTTCACAATTAGGGCACCGAATACGCGGATAAAATACGAGGTACTTTGGAGCTTTGCAACTTTCTAATACTGATTTTATCATGAACATCGTCTAATGGCCGGCTTAATGGCCGACGACCATGTCGACGTCCTGCGATCGCCGACGGCAAGCCGAACGACAGTGAAGCGTCGAATTAGAGGAAAACGCGATTATGTGAGCGGGATGACGAGGTAGAAGGGCCGTACGCATCCATTGCAACCCACGGTTCTACAGCAAGCGCCATTGTGGAGATGAGCGCCAGTGTGAGAGGCAGGCTGCCATGTCTGCGCGCCACGGGGATATTGTAGATGGTATGGGCTCGTGGTAGACGCATGCGATTCGCTCCAGCAACAAAGCTTGCCATGAAATTTGTGTTCTTAATTCCATCGAAGTTGAAGTTTAAGAGCGTCTAACAGGGTGGACCCGTCGTGGTGATGATCTCCCCTTCAAGCTCATCAGTCCAGCTCCACCTACCTCCCTTTTATCAACTACTACATACCTACAGTTACTAAAAAGATTCTCCACTCATCAGCCAGGGAGGAAGAGAAGGTATGATCTACATCCCCTCTCGGGATATCCTTTCAACAATGTACCATCCCCTTTTTAATTGAGACAGTAAGTCAGTGACCAAACACGATTCCCTCTCCCTAAGCAGCTCTGTCGAACATTTCGCAAGTGTGGTGCCCTGCACCTTGACATCAAAGCACTCCCTGCCGCAGGGAGGAAACTTTGTAAAATACAACCCTTGAAAGTTGCTCCCCTGGTGCTTTCCCCCCCCCCCTTCATTATCTCCCATCATACCTAGCTTCTTCATTGGTTTCCCAACATCCCACCGCTTTCTGGAGTTTTTTTTTGGAAATCCTCCACCATCCCCCCCCCCTTCGAAAAGCCCGCCACGGCGGAGTATAGCACACTAGGAACAGGAACAATCGAGAAAATTTAACAACCAAGCATTTTTGTTTGTAAACAAATTGCGACGTTGCTCCCCCCCCCTCCCCCCTAACCTCCTTCGGCGATCGACTACTCCCCTCGCTGGGGATCCCGAACATAGGATGTGCCCTGATTGATGTAAGGTGGTGGATATACTTTTAGGTGCACATATCGGCGGTATGACTTAGACATTGTTATTGCCCACGCAGATGTCCTAATAAGGCGGCTTTGTCTTTCCGACGAAAGTGCTGTACCCAGGGGTGCTGGGAGTTGATAAGAAGCGATAAGGGACTGTCTGCGAGACTTTAGATCTAGTGAGTCCGCATACACGACGATTGCAAGGCGCTTACAAGCTAATTCAAAGAGCTCTTGTAGCCTACGACTCCCCTTAACTCTCATCTGCTCTGTGCCACAGGGCACTAATCCCATGTTATCGCTGTGCTTGCTCGTTTGATGCCAAACGTGGTGAACTTGTGTGGAAGGAACACTCTGAGATGTAATGAGGCGAATCTCTCACCTATGCTTCCAAATCTAGAACGTTGCTGAGGAGTTCACGGCGCAACCAGAAGTCCGCTGACTTATCTTCCTCCTTCAGAAGAACGTAGAGCAGGAAAAATACCTTCAGAACTCGCTCACCACCTGCTCTGCCTCCCGGTCGGTATCCTAAAAGTTGAATCTAACATCCGGGTCCCTGGTGATATCGTCATGTCCCGAACGGGGTGATAAAACCACCGGCGACCACTGGTCATATCTCTGGGGCTTTCCATTATCAGGCAACCAGCGGTCGGTTCTTCTATAGGCGGGCGTCAAGAGGTGTTAATCATGTCATTGCGGCACACATGAAACGCCACAGACGCGTGCCGATTCGCAGTGGGCGTGGCCGGCTACCGTCACCTCCAACCAATCAAGCGCCCGCGCCAGCTTAGCCCGTTGGAGGCGGAGTCGTTGTAAACACGCCAAGGCGAAAACGCAACACTTCATTCATCTAATCCCCGCCATAATAAACATGGATGTGCGCGCACGATTGGCCAATGGCGACCTTTGGGCCAAATTTCATTCCAACACCACTGAAATGGTGGTGACAAAAACTGGAAGGTTTGTGTTTTTCCCATTTTATTTTCTTGTTTCCAAGGATTACTGCGTTCGTGAAAGAGAGTCTGTAGGACACAGTATTTCGTCTTTCTTCCAGCCGTTGGTTACTTTATGCTTCCGACCCTCCGTAGGATTATACTGCATTTAGAAACAATTTTATTTTCCTGCGATTTCTTTGATATCTTATTTTTCCCTCTTGTCTGTATATTTTTTGCACCCCGAACTGCTGACTGGCAAACTTCTCTTTCATCCTATATTTCAATACTACTGAATTTTCATAGCTTTCTCTTTCGCGGTATAACATCGTGGTGGGTAAATTGGCAGTGTCAATATGACCCCTCCCCATCCCCGATCGGATTCTCTCGACTAACAATAAGCTGTACCCTCACTCCCGTCCATTCAGTTGGTTAGTTCCCGTGTTGAATGCGGCCGTACAGAAACGACTGCGCGTGATAGTTCAAACTGAGCTGGAGCAGCTCTGCCGTCCTACCTGAGCTGACGAGAGTTCATTAGTGCAGCAAGACCTTGGGATGTATGGGTATCCTCAGCCTTGAGAGATGTGACGTCCAAACTTTCCTACAATACTCAATCCTCGCCTAGTGTCATGCAGTATACAGTTCATTTCATACGGGCGACGTTAACATGGAGCTGAAAAATTGGTACAAAGAGCTGCCTTTAACCCTTAATGGAGAAGAACCACATTTTGGCACGATCGGCTTCGGGGGGGGGGGACATTTCGCACTTTTGCTACTTCTCATCAACGTGTCCAGCCATCAAGTGAAGACCTGTGAAATCTTGATGACCATGATGGTCGAAGTCTCTACCGGTCGAAGTTTGTAGAGAACACCTCTCAAATCTTGCGAAGAACATGTCAGCTTTCGTAAAGCAATGAAAACGTGCCATTCAGCATGCCCCCCAAGCCAAACTGCGCTCAGATTCTTGCCCCCCCCCTCCTACCCACGCCAACTGCCCCTATCTTCCTCTGGAAACGTTTTTCTTATTCCGGGACCCTACCTTTTATTGGTTTACTCATTTTTCTTCCGTGTCGTAGAAGCGATGTAGTCAGGACACTCCATGATCGGAACGCTTCTTGATCCGACCCTTTCTCCCTCCCTCCTCCCCTCAACTAAATTCCGCCGAGCGAAGGGGGGGGGGGAGGAAATACAGCACAACGGAAACGGGAAGAATCAACAATCGAAATTTCCCTCCCAAGCCAGCCACGACCACCCACTCCCTTCCAACTACTACGCAACCTCCATACTTGCTCCCAGCAGAATTCCGCATTTTTTTTCGCTCAACCCATGCTGTTTCGCCTTTGTTGATAGCAGCTAAAGGCCTGCTAGACTCACATTTGTTTTTATGGACAATCAAATTTTAGTGCTTCTAATTTCTATGTTTGTATGAATTTCTCACGATAATTCCATGAAAACCACTATATAAATTTAGCTCATTAGCTCTCACAATTTCATTTATTTTTTGCTGCCTTTTTTGCATACTCAGTTATTTATGAGGGGAACTAGTTATCTTCAAGGTGGTATGATTGTAGACGTTTCTTCTATGTAGACAAACTCTTCAACAACATACGAAACCCCTTAAGTAAAGCGTCTCTACTAGCTCTTTCTGCATTGTTCCAACGTATTTTCCCCCACTCCATCTTGCATAGTCTGTTCCGCAAAGAGAGTAAAATCGTCGCTGTTTCATCTGCCAGCTTAATTTCGAACCTTTTTCTCGAACTTTCTCCTCTACCCCTCGGGAACATTTCATGTCCCGAAGATGGAGAGGGCGTGGTTGCGTACTTCCTACAAGTGCGACAGCGGCCGCACGGCGGGAGCTATTCTTTTTGAGGCAACTGTAGTCTTGTCTTTGTTCAGCACAAGGTTGGATAATAGTTGCGCTGAATGGAGTATTTCACGAATACGGATTTACTCCATGCTCATGTGAAACAAAGCGGCCATCTACAGGATATGGAGTACACTCCCCAAAAAAAATGTCCTGGAGGGGTTGAAAACAGGGGTGTAGTTGAAAGGCATGAGATGATGCGTGGGATGTGTCGTGCACTTTTCTTGCACTTGGTAGACAATGCAGCTCGATCGGAGTAGAACTTTTACTAGACTAAAATCACCCGTGGAATAGAGGTTTAGGAGAGGGCACCGAACTGACAGAAGTTCATTCTGCTTTTTCGCCTTTACAGTTTCCTGCTGCTCTATCTGATTGTTCAGGAAAATGTTCCCCAAATTGGAGTACATAATAGAAGGGCTGGATCCGAATCACGCCTATGGTCTCGTCCTTCAAATTGAACAAGTCGATGACAACAGGTACGTCCGTTCTACATTTTTAGCACCCTCTTTATCATTTTCTTCATGCTTCGCTTGCCCTTTCTGCTTCCCTACCCTAACGACTTTTCTAGTATGGAGGTACAATAGAAACAAGGTTTTTGATTGATGTCTTATGCTTTAATTTTGGCGTATTTTAAGAACATCTGCAGGGTATTTCTTATGCTTACTGTTATATTCCATATCCCGACGATGGAAGGGGCGTGGCCGTGCTCTTGAGATATTTGCGATCAAAAGAACTGCCATTCTGCTTCGTACTGGACAAAGTCATGATCACACTGCCCGTTTTCCACCAAAAAGTGAATCGCTGCCACGTTCCAATGAACTCCCAATGACTGAAGTCGCGTAGCAGCGCATCAGTCGTGGGATATGAAGTGCGTATTGACAACTCAATGTTCTCCTTATACCAGATGCAGAGGAAAACCCGGCTCTTCAGAAAAGGCCTGAATTTAAAGTTGGGGGCCCTACAACCATGCAACACACTAAGGCGCGCCCTGTTCTCAATGTTGCCCTTTTTAATTTTCGAGTGTACGCCAGGCACTCTACTTTTGTCCCACGTAATGAGAGCAGTAACCGACCCAT